ACGTTCCACTGAGTAAGCCCTGTCGGTTACCGCAGAGGCCCGCCGCCCGAGCCAGAAGCTGGTCGTGGCCCTGGCCATCGCTCGGACGCCCATTCCCTGTGCACGTGTTTCGGTTTCGCGCGTGCGTGTTTATTTTCTCGCCAGAGCATCCACACTGTTCCTCGACGGTCCTCGCCGAGAGAAAAGAGGGCACACGTCCGAGCGATACCGAGGGCCTCTTGTATATTTGTTTTGCTCGGCAGCGGCCACGGCCGCAGAGCGCGAGGCCTCGGCCTGGCGCGCGGCGGGGCGCGCGGCTGGGGGGGGGCGGAGAGCGCGAGGCCTCGGCCTGGCGCGCAGCACCCAGGGTTGGCCGCCCGGCGGGGCGGAGGCCGCGCGGCGCCTCACAGGAAGCTGCCCTGCTGCCGCGCTCGTCTGCCGCCAGCCGCCCGCCCGCGCCGCGGAGGCACGCGCGGCGGCGCGGGCAGCGTCGCGGGCGCCGCGAACTTGGCCACGTCGTCGCCCTCACTGAGGAGGAAAACCTTCTTGCCATTAACGCACTCGTACGTCGATTGCTTGGAGGTGACCCTGTGCCGGAAGCAGAGCTCGCCGTCCCTGCACAACTCGCCGCCGCCGCCCTCTCCGCAGGCGCCCTCGGACGAGTCCTTGATCTTGCTGATGTCGAACGCTTCGCACTTGAAGTTCGGACCGCACCTGTACCAAGAGTTGTGCCGGATGTCGAAGATCATGTTGATGTCTTTGAGCTCACTGGTGCTACCTAGACAATGATCTCCGGGGCCCTTCGCAGCTTCGGCGAGGTTGACTTTGCCTTTCTCCGTCTTGGGGTCGTAATCCGGCCCGCCGGTCAGCTCCAGATCCTCTAGCTCCTTCTTGCTCTTCTTGCATGGCACCGCCAGCGCCTTCTTGAAGTCCTGCGGGACGCCGGAGTCCACGCGCTTGAGCACGAAGCTGGGGGGGCACGCCTGCCAGTTCTCTGGGAGCTTACAGGCGTGGCCGTCGGCGTTCCGCACCCATGTGGGGCACGTGTATGTGTGCCGCGCCTCCCCGTCGTGGGCCGCCACGTGCAGGCACCGCTCCGACTCGCGGCAACCGACGTCGTTCAGCAGGCGAGCCGTGTACCAGCAGCCCCGCTTGGGATCCTTCACGTTGTCGCACTCGCCACCTGCAGCACGGCCTGGCCACCAGACCTTCACCTCCTGGCCCTTCAGGTCGTGGTCGTAGGCGTACTTGATGTCTGGCTTCTCCCCCTTCCAGATGTACGTGTTGTTCCCGAGCTTCATGTCCTCCCAGTTGCACTCGGCCGAGCTGCCGGTCGCGGCCGCGCCCCCAGCCTCCGCGTCGCCCGGCGCGCTCGAGGAGGCTCCTCCTCCCGTCACATTGCTCACCGCCTGCTTCACCGAGCTGGCGGCCTTGCCCAGCGACTCGAAGACCCCCAGGAAGCCGGCGTGGCGCCGGCGGTGGCCAGGCGCGTGGCAGTCGGGCAGGCACGCGGCGAGGGCACCGGCAGGCCCGCCCGCCGAGTGCCCTGCCGCCTCCAGGCCCCAGCACGCGGCCGGCGCCATAGGGGGGCGGCCGCCAGGGGCTCCTAGCTGGCCATCTGGCCGCGCGCCCCCACCAGCAGGCACCGCGCGCCGCTCCGCCTGCGGGGACGGGCTCGGGCTGGGCGCTGGAGCGATGCCAAAGGGCCTCTGATTGTGGCTCGAGGCTCAGGTTCAGGTCGGGCATGTCCCCCTACCGGCGGATTTCCGACGAAAAAGAATGAAAGCATCAAGACATACTCCAAGACAGTCAAACAATAGTTGAAACGTCGCCCCCAGGCGGATAGGATTCCTCTGAGAGGCCCTGCCAGGGCCTCCCATGGCCTCCTTGGGGTTTTCTCGGACTCTCTCTCTCTCTCTCTCTCTCTCTATATATATATATATATATCGGAGCCTCCAGGGAGAACCGAAAAGCTGTCCGAACCCCGCCCAGGAGCTTCCAGGTGCTCCAGGAGAGCACCACGAGGCCACGATCTCCCGTTTGAGGCTGGAGATTGTGGCGGATCAGGGCACCCTGAGAGGCCCTGTTGGGGCCTCCTGGAAACTCTTTCGGCTTCCTCGGGACCTCTCTCTCGGTCGCAGCCGCCTGAGCGGCTCGAAAAGCTTTGCGAATCCCGCCCAGGAGCCCCCAGGGGCTCCAGGAGAGCCCCAAGAAGCCACGATCCTCCAGGGGTCCAGAGGAGCACCAAGAAACCATGATATCCTAACTCAGGCTGGAGATCGTGGCAGATAGGAAGCTTCTGAGAGGCCTTGTCGGGGCCTCCCATGGCCAGATTGGAGGTGTTCACGTGAGCTTTCTCTCTCTCTCTCTCTCTCTTGGAGCCGCCTGGGAAGACCGAAAAGCTGTCCGAAGCCCGCCCAGAACCTTCCAGGGGCTCCAGGAGAGCACTAAAAGGCCACGATCTACCATCAGAGGCTGGAGATCGTGGCGGATCAGGGCCGCCTGAGAGGCGCTGCCGATGCCTCCTCTGGTCCTTTGGAAATTTTCTCGGGACCTCTCTCTCTCTCTCTCTTTCGCTCTCTCTCTCTCTCTTTCTCTCTTTCTCACTTGTTATCTTGCCAGGTGTGTATATCTATATCTATATATATATATATATACATATGCCTCGCTCTTGCTCTCTCTCTCATTCTCTCTCGCTCTTCCCCTCTCGTTCTCTATGATGTTAGTTGTGTTTCTCTCTCTCTCTCTCGCTCTGTTGCTTGTTCTCTATCTCTCTCTGGGATCTCTTCCCAGGAGTCCCGAGAAGCTGTTCGAATTCTGCCGGGGTCCGCCCAGGGACCCCAAAAGGGCCCTAGAAGCCCACGATATCCCAAAGGAGGCTGGAGATCGTGGCGGACCAGGGCTCCCTGAGAGGCCCCGCCTGGACCTCCCGTGGTCTTCTTTGAGGTTCTCTCGGGAGCGATCTCTTGGTGGGCTTGTTGTCCACCGCCACCACCACAAGTATGAGGGGGAGGGGGTCCTCCTCCTCCTCCTCCTCTTCTTCCTCCTCTTCCTCCTCCACCTCCATCCCCCCACCAAGGCATGGTGGTTGTGTTGAAAAATGGGCCCATCATCTCTCTCTCTCTCTCTCTGTCTTTTCATCTTTGTCGGAGCCTCGAAGGAGGCACGACATGCTGTCTGACTCCAGCAAATGAGCTGCTCCAAGAAAGCCCCAAGAAACCACTATCTGATCTACCAACTGAGGCTGGATAGCTATTGTGGCAGATCAGGCTCCCTGAGCGGCCCTGCCGTGTCCTCTTGCGGCCTTCTTGGGGTTTTCCCGGGAATCCTCTCTCGCGGTCCCGGAACTTCCACGGAAACCTGAACAACTGTCCGACTCCCCGAACCCTGTCGACTTCCCGACTTCCCCACTATCCGACTGCCTGAGCACTCCGATTGGTCAACCGCCCGACTAGACGACTCCCCAGCTGGCCGACTCCCCGACTGGCCGACTCCCCGATTGGCGGACCTCCCGAGTGGCCGAGTGGCCCACTCCCCGACTGGCCGACTCCCTGGCTGGCCGCCTCCCCGACTGGCCGACTAAATACCCTCCTCCGTCTCCAACAGCACACCCAGTACTCAACACCCTGCGTCCCCCCCGCATGCGCCAACTCATTCTGAAACCTCCGCCTCCAAGGCTGGCGCACGCGCCCGAGCCGCCCTTTTCCTCTGTCCGTACCCCTCGATGAAAAGTGGGCTTCATGGTGCGCGCGCAGGCGGTCATACATCTATCTACACACACATATATATATATATATATATATACACATTGTAGGTGTGTATATATATATATACACACGATCGATGGCAAGTAAAGTAGGAGGCACTGGACAACATCCACAACCCCTTGGAACCGCTGGCCATCTGAAAGCCACGGCGTCGTGCGGAAGCGTGCCAACTCAATAGAATGCGCCATCGTGGCCCACTCGCACAAGACGTGGATTGCGCAAAACTCTAAATGCACTCGGTGGGAGTAGGGCATCGCTGGATATGGATGATCTGCTGCACACGACGAGGAGACAACGGTGAGAACGAGCAGTGCGAACCTGTTAATGCCTGACGCCACACTGCAAGATGCTTCAGGTTTGTCCTGCCGACTCAGTTTTGTCAGGATGTCTCCGAACAGGGAGTAGGGACTGTAAATCTGATATGGGTAGTATCGATGACCATGTGCACGGTTTAATGGTTACCACCACATCTCTGGGGAACGCGACGCTGGTGCAGGAGGCGGCAGCTGATCGTCTGATGTCGAAAACTCTGTCGGCGCCAGATGTGCCCCAACCAAAATGTCGAGTTGGCGTGGCTGCGCCGTGCTCCAGGTAAACTTACCAGGGATATCCCCACAGTGTCGAAATCCAGATCCCAAAACGACCGCCCGCTGGAAGAATATCACATGCGCATTCGAAAACGCCTGAGATTGCCCGAATACCTGTTCACGAGAGAGTTCTAGCAGGGGTGAACAACGACGGCACACATGAACCACAGAGGGGGAACGGGGAACCCCAAGACACCATTCCTGGACTGCCGTATCGCTGTAGACACCCTCACAGGGTATGACCCCAGAAACAGCTTCGCGGAACATTTCCTCACGCTTTAGAGCCGCACAGGTCATTGCACTTGAGACTTCCTCACGGCGTATGACCATTGTAAATCTTTTGCCTGAAACTTCCCCGCACGCTAGATCCACCGAGCCCGTTTCGCTCGAGACTTCCTGGCAATCTGAAGCCACAAACAGACGCCGCTAATGCTGGTAGGGGGAGGCAGAACGATCGACGCCTCCATGTTCGGAGAAGACATCGATGGAAGGGGGAGGGAGGAACACGAAGAGAGAACGACAAGGAAGGAACGAGAAGGAAGGCGGGGCAAACAGGGAAGAGAGGCCCACCCCGCCCTCCTCGATCTCCTCGTCCCTCCCCCCTCTCTGAGCAAAATCCCCCGCCTCGCCCTCTGAATAAATGCTGCGAACTCAGATCGGACAAGTCCTTGGGCACTTTCCCTCGCTCTGCGTACACGGTGTTGCGCCACAGCCTCACCTCGGCCGAAACTCTCGATACGAACAACAACACTAAACAGATGAGGCGGATGAAGGCAAAGCAAGCTCCAGTGCCTGAAAGACCCAAAGAAGGCGAACGAATAATCGAACGCAAGACCGTCCAGACACCGTGAAAGGCGACAGCCGCTGCGTCGCGTAAGAATCAGCAAGAGCAATGACTGTCCACAGCTGAAAGAAAGGGGAGGGAAAAGACTGAAGTAAAACGTAGAAAGAGGAAAGACACGGAGGATGAACGCACACCAAATACCCGCGGTGCACACAAGTAGCTGGCCACAATTGCCCGAGCGAGGGAGGGTACTTACACGGCGGTCGATCCTGAAGGGAACCTGGCGTCGGCCTGGACCTGGGTACCGTACTTGATCGAATTCCGCCCTCACCAACTGAGGCGTCAGCTTGTCCCTGCGCCTTCAATGTTGCATTCGACCGCGCGGCTTCCGACGTCAAGAATGAAAAGGGGAGAAGACGAGAGAGAGAAACAACAACCTGCAGCCGCGTCCTAACAAAATGTCTGAGCGTACGTCGTTGAGTACTCTGCAATACCTATGCGACCGCCCTGCGGGCGATAAGGAGTTTGGGGGGTATCGACATCAAGTACCCAATATGACTGACCTCCGGCCTGTCACCATAATATCATGTCTCTCGTTCTCTGCCTGTCTGTCTCTCTCTCTCTCTCTCTCACTCTCTGTCTCTCTGTGTCCATTTCTCTTTGTCTCCTCTCCCTCTCGATCAGGATTTCCCGCAACGACAATGATGATCGCTATGACGTTGAAATCCCACTATCAACCTATCCGTCGACCCACCAATCGCTGAATATCCCTGTCGATATCACGATCGACCTCAAAAGCAAAATGAGAAACCCACAAAAAACGATTTGTTGTCCGACAACCAAATGAATCGATGGGATAATATGGAATAGGATGGATTTGATAACGTAGGATGGGTTGGATTGGGAGAGATGGACTGGATACAATAAAATGGATGGATTGTCCAGGCTTTGGTAAGGTAAGCTGGGTTGGACTGAAATAAGAGATGGCCTGGGTAATAAAGTAAGATGGGCAAGCGCAGAAACAAATGAATTGATGGATGGGGTTGGATGGGTTGGATTGGGCGTGATAAGGCAAAACGGAACAGTATGGGTTGGATGAAGTAGGATGGATTGGATTGGACAAGGTGGATTGGATAACAAAAATCAGGATTGGATCAAAAAGCCCGCCGCAGGCGCCGACAAACATATAATGATGGATTGGGTTTGGTGGAATGGATTGGATGGGGTAAGACGGACTGAATAAGATCATCTGGGTTGGATTGGATGAGATGGATTGGATAAGACAACATGGATTCGATAGGTTCGCCGCAGGCGCAGCAACAAATGTATTGATGGATTGGGTTGGGGGGATTGGATTGGGTGGGGTGAAATAAAATGGGACAATATGGGTTGGATAAGATAAGATATACTGGATTGGGCAAAATGGATCCGATACAATCAAGCGGATTGGATAAGAAACCCCGCCGGCGGCGCCGGAAAACATGAATATGAAATTCGCGACGTGCGTTAGCGCCGGGACGCCCGGGACGCCCGGGACACCTCGGACACCGCCCGGCCCAACTGGGACACCTCCCGGCCACCGGCGGACGGGCAACGGACTTTCGCTCCGAAAGCCTGGAACACCTGGGACACCGCCCGGCCCAACTGGGCACCTCCCAGCCACCGGCGGACGGGAACGGACTTTCGCTCCTACTTCGGCCCAGCCACAGGAGGATCACGCGCAGCTTCGCCCCGCCCGCACGCACGACACGAACGCGAAACCGAAACCGATTTCCCGGCAGGGAGTCTCCGTCCCACTGCGATCTCACCCCCCAACCTCCCATTCATTGCTGCTCCACTGTGACTGTCCATGTCCAAGAGCCAAACAGCTCGGATGGCGCGACGGATTCTCGGAACAGGCGCGTGCGGTGCTGCAGTTTAATGCGGCGGCTGCAGAATATGAATTTGTGTTGTGCGAACACTGACCAACCACACCCAACTCCGTAGTGCAACTCTGCGTTAGACGCACTACGACTCAAGTACTTTTCGTTTTGGCGTTGTTGAAAGACCCGTACATGATGGCCTCCGCACCGTAGAATATCTGGCAGGCTGCCGACGTTCGTCAACATGAATCTTTCGCCCACGGGAACTTTGAAACCGTACCTGCTCGCCTCCGTCCCCAAATCCACCAACATTCTCGATGCATCTATGGCAGCCGATGCCACAAACAATATACCATCAGCGAGCAAGCGACTGGTAATGGGTCGCCCGTGCTTCCTATGACCACGCGGTAGTATGATCCAAATCCGCCGACCCCTTTGGGGTTCATCGGCGCGTGAGATTTTCCCCCTCCCCAAACCCCTCCCCCGGGAGCCCGGTCTGGTCGATTTGGAGGGGGGGGGGTCTGTTCAAATTCCCCGCTTCCCCCGGGGGGGTCATCCGCTCCCGAAAATCCTGCAGGGGCTCCTCCGGTGGCCTCGAAATGACCCCGGGACGCACCACGACGGATCAAGAGGACTTCCTCGTGGCCTTCGGTGGCTCCAAGACTCCCCAATATGGGCTCAAGACAGCCCACGATGCCTCCAAGACGCTCCAAGAGGCCCCGAAGGGGCGCTCCAAGAAGGTCCAACGCAGCGAAAATCATCGATTTGCCATTAGGAAACGTACATTTTTAACATCGACGACTTTTCAGCCTGCACGGAGTTGCAGCCAGTGTAAGAGGCCCCCAAGGCCACCCATGACGCCCCAAAAGGGTCCCGAAAAGGCGCCCAAGACGGCCCAAAACGGCGCCAAGGCGGCCCCAAAGGCGTCCAACCCGGCCCAAAACGGCGCCAAGACGGCCCCAAAGGCTCCCGAATCGGCCCAAAAGAATCCCAAGACGGCTCCTAGAAGGGCCCCAGCGGCGGAGCCCGAACCGAAAATCCGAGTCCTCCGCTCCCACCTGACACCCCACGATCCGCCCAGAAGGTCCCAAAAGACCCCCAAAAGACTTCCAAAAAACGTCCGAAAGGCCCAAAAGAGGCCCCAAGAGGTCCCAAAACGGCTATCGTGTCCGAGAACGCTCCTCCGCACGCCGCGCACGTCACGTCGCACCTCGTTCTCTCGCCCCCCCGCGCATTTCCGACAGAGCCTCTCCCCCGATGAATTGTGCTTCGTCTGTGCACCCGACATTTCCGCCTGCTCTTTCAACAGCGTCAGACATGTGTTGCTCGAACGCATTTAAGGGGTCGGCGGATGTGGCGTAAGCCTGAAGAATCGACAGATGCCGTGCTTGACATCATGGCATCTGTCGAACATCCTGCTTTCGACCCCCTGACACTCCGCATGCTGATGGTTTGGCCTACAGTCGTCCGAGCAGGTTGAGATGTTCAGCTCACGCGCTTTGTTCTGCAAGAGCTGCCCATAGACTATCCTCTTCAATTCTGCCGAAGGCTTACTCGAAATCGGCCACGCAGGTCCAAGCCAGCGTGTGTTGCGTGCCTCTACTAGTAGCGCGGTGGTCAACCGAGGTTCGATGGTCCCGTTGCTCTTTCGATGAAACGCCTGGTCTGCCGATTGCTTTCTTGAGATACTGGGATTCAGTTTCCTGCATAGCATCCGGTTGACCAGTGTATATATACGTAACCCTATCCCACAACACGAACACCCATCAAATACTTGTATGCCTGATGTGATTGTGCGACGTGCCTGCAAACGCTCAGTACGAGCAACACCTGTTAACAACGACGCATCGCGGCGGTCTGAACGGTCGCAGCCACGGACCGCGCTCTGCAAACAACACTTGAGCCTGGGCTGAGGTGGGAACGGGGGGATGAGGAGGAGGAACGGAAAACATATATGACAACACATTATGCAACTGTGAGGCTCCCAAATGCTTGCGACGGTTTCGCAGATCGCAGCCCCCAAAGGACGCCGAGGTCCCGCTCACAGCTACGCGGTGTTTCAATCCGCTTGGCCCACCAGCAGCCCTCGAAAGTGGCGACGGTTTCGCAGATCGATATGTTGTTCCCCCGAACAACCCTTGGAAATGGAAACAATTTCGCAGATCGCAGCCCCCCATGGGCGGCGAGGTCCCGCTCAGATCTGCGCGGTGCCTGACTCCGCTGGACGCACCAGCAACTTTCGAAAGCAGCCACGGTTTCGCAGATCGCAGCCCCCCAGGAACGGCGAGGTCCAGCTCGGATCTGCGCGGTGCCTGACTCCGCTGGGCCCGCCAGCAGCCCTCGAAAATGGCGACAATTTCGTGTGCCACCGCCATCCAAAGACGGCGAGGTCCCGCTCAGATCTGCGCGGTGCCTCACTCCGCTGGACCCCCCAAGCGGCCCTCGAACATGACGACGGTTTCGCAGATCGCAGCCCCAACGGACGCCGAGGTCCCGCTCGCATCTGCGCGGTGCCTCACTCCGCTGGGCCCACCAGCAACCCTCGAAAATGGCGACAGTTTCGCAGATCGATATGTTGCCCCCCCGAACAACCCTCGAACATGGAAACAAATTCGCAGATCGCAGCCCCCCATGGACGGCGAAGTCCCGCTCAGATCTGCGCGGTGCCCAATCTCGCTGGACCAGCACTCCTCGAAAGAGGCGACGGTTTCGCAGATCGCAGCCCCCCAGGGACGGCGAGGTCCCGCTCAATTCTGCGCGGTGCTTCACTCCGCTGGACCCACCAGCAGCCCTCGAAAGTGGCGACGGTTTCGAAGATAGCGGCCCCCCAAGGACGGCGAGGTCCCGCTCAGTTCTGCGCGGAACATCAATCCGCTGGACCCATCGGCAACCGTCGAAAGCGGCGACAGTTTCACAGATCGCAGCCCCCCGGGGACGGCGAGGCCCCGCTCAGATCTGTGCGGTGCCTGACTCCGCTGGACCCACCAGCAGCCTTCGAACGTGGTGACGGTTTCACAGATCGCACCCCCCCAGGGACGGCGAGGTCCAGCCGGGGACCCACCAGCTGACCTC